TTAGTTGAGAATTTTAGGAAAGAATATTCATAATAATGAAAATAATTTTTGAAGAAGTTACTGTAACAAAGTAGCAAGTTTTAATTAATTTCATGTTTCAATTATTATAAAACATGAAGAATGCGAACACTCCGAGTCGAAGACTCGGAATGGTCGATATCTTCATGTTTTATAATAATATTCTTATATGTTATTGAATTTCAAATTTTTGAATATCTTAATTTCTATAAAAAAAAATAATGAATAAATATTTATTTAAAAATGATGTTATTATAATGGTTTCGAATAATTTTCGTTTTAAAAACCTGGAAAAATTCCGTTTTTTAACTTGAAAAACCTGGAAAAGTCAGAGAATTGAAAAAGTGTAAAGCGTGGCAACCCTGTAAAAATTTGACTCCAATAAACAATGTTTGCTTTTTATTTCTTGTTTGCAAAGAACAATTGGTCTTTGCGTGTAGCATATAATTATTAATTATTAGACTAAAAATGTTTGCAATTGAAACAAATCGAGAGGAACAAGTAAAACAAAAAATTTCAATCTATTGGTAAATCTTTTAGCATTTAAAGAGAGCCACGTTTGATGTGAAAGATACTTAAAGCAGGTGAATTTTATAGTTAACTGTTACAATTCTATAGTGAAATCCATTAGAAAAGTAAATATAAGACATTAAATTAAAGGTAAACAAGCTTGAAGCAAAAGCTCACTGCTAGTATCAAGTAATAGTGACTGTCAGCATTATTCTTTGAGCAAGAATTCTCTCGCTTCAGACACTAAACATTATAACGGGTTTCGAGCCCGTTCAATGTTACTGCTTCGATTCATGGTTTCAGTTCTATAAAAAGTCCTACAGGGAGCCAATACTATTAATGTTTCAATGGTCCACTTTGCTTAACAACCGAAAATAAAAGAAGCTTTCGTTTTTCAAGTGAAAGTGCAATGCTCTTGATAGGAAATTGTAAAATAGGATTTTAATTGGAAGAAAAAGAAGACTCTCCAATGTTTGCTGGTGTATAAAACCTTAAATATCGCAACGATAACGAAATTGATTAATTTTTTATTTAATAAAGGACTGCATTTTTTATTAACGAAATTGAAATATTTTTACCTCGGCTCACCTGTTAGAGGCTCTGAGTATTTTGCCACTATTTTATTTTGACAATTGCCAATGCCATCTCTTAATAAATAAAAGATTGAAAATCAAAGCACTGGCATTTGCATAAAAATAAATTCAAAATTCAAAACAAAATTTATAATTATTCCTAATTTTAGTGCTACTACAAAAATTGACTTTGATTTTTGAATTTTATCAATTTAGTTAATAAGTAAAAAAAAATGTTTACATTTACCCCGAAAATTTGAAAACTCGGAGTAAACGTAAACAGAATTTGAACTGCATTTTAAAATAATATAATTGAATGACTTTGGTCAGGGAAATCTAATTTTACTTAAATGTTTCAAAATTAATTCAATTTTATATGAATTGCGTTTAAAATTTTCATAAGTAGATGAACTTCAAAAGATTTTGATTTGAAATTTTGTAAAATTTCAATTTTAAATAAATTTAATTGTAAATTTTAAAAAACCTAGATTTTTAAAAAATTTTTATAACTAAAATTCTTCTGAAATTAGTTAAATTTTGTAATATATACCTATATTTAATTGATTATTGAAAATAATGCATTTATAGAAAAATGTTAATTGAAAACACTAAAAGAAATTTAATTTTTGACAAGTTACAAATGATTGTACAAAATTCAATTATTTTCGAATGTACCTAATCAGATTATTCGCTAAAATTCAATTACGCGTTTAAAAATTTAAAAAAATTCTCGTCAAAATTACAATTATCTTTATAAATAATAAAATTCCTTTCTAAAATTCAATTATTCTCAAAAATTTTAATATTTTCTAAAAGAATTTAATTTCGATCAAAAATTTAAAAAAATTCTAGTTTATTATTTATAAAGATAATTGTAATTAAATTACAATTATCTTTATAAATAATAAAATTCCTTTCCAAAATTCAATTATTCTCAAAAATTTTAATATTTTCCAAAAGAATTCAATTATTTTCAAAAATTTTAATAAAATTCTACGCAAACCTTACATTATTTTCATAAATAATATAAAATTTAACAGAAATTTAATTATTTACAAATTTTTTATAAATTTCTTAGCAATAATACAATTGTTTACAAAAATTTTTAATAAAATTCTTAGCAGAAATTTAATATTGATTTAAAAAATTTGTTGATATTCAAAATTATTCTCAATATTTACTGATTCTATAAAATTTCACAAAAGAATTTTATTATTTAAAAAAAAAAATTTAGTAAATTTTGTCGCAAGAATTAAATTATTTTGATAAATAATAAAATTCTTTTCAGGAATTCAATTATTTTGAAAAATTAATTAAACTCGTCGCAGAATTTCAATTATTTTCAAAAACTTTCCTCAATTTGATGATTTTTAATATCTACTACTTTAATACAAAATTCCTAAAAGAATTCAATTAGTTAAAAAAATGTTTAGTAAAATTCTACGAAAACATCTAATTATTTTCATAAATAATAAAAATTTCACAGGAATTCAATTATTTACAAATAATTATTTTAATATATTATTCAATTATTTTCATAAATATTAACAATTTTTTACAGGGATTTAAGTATTTTCATAAATAATGAAACTCAATGCTGAATTTAATTTATTTTTAATACAATTTTAATGGAATTCCTCGAAAAAAGTTATTATTCTTAAAAATTTTATTGAAATTTATCAAAGAAATTTAATTATTTTAATAACCTTTGGTGAAATTTATTTATTAGAATTTAAGTATTATTTTCAATACATTTTTAATTTTAATTTCTTTAAAGAATAAAATTATTTTCAAAAATTTTAATGAAATTCTTTGCGTAACAATGCAATTTTTTTCAAAATAATTTTAATAAAATTCTTCGCAGAAATCCAATTATATTTAAAAATTTACAAAAATTCTCGTCAAAATTTTAATTATCTTTATAAATAATTAAAATTTTTCTCCGAAATTCAATTATTTTCAAAAATTTTAATTAAATTCTTTAGCAGAATTTCAATTATTTTTAATACAATTTTCATCAAATTTCTCGAAAATGAAAATATTTTTAAAAATTTTATTAAAACTTGTCAAGAGAATTCAATTTTAAGAAACATTAAATTGTTTAATATAATATTTATTTTTGTAGTTAAATAATTAATTTCTCGCAGAATTTTCTAATAAATATTGATTTAAATATGAATTTCAATTTAAAATTTTTGAAAATTTGAACTTTTCATACTTTTAATTAAGAATTCTATAGAATTAATTTTTCTCAATAAGTTTAATGGAATTTTTTTTAATTATTTGAAGTTTTTAATTTCTAATATATTTAATTGAAGAATGTCAGAATAATCAAAATTTCGTAAAATTAAGTTGTAAACAAAAGAATTTGAAAATTCACAAAGAACTTTTTCAAAAATTATTTTTAAAAAATTGACTTAAAGAAGAATATTAATTGAAAATTCTAGAAATGAATAATCGTAATAATGAAAATAATTTTTGAAGAAGTTACAGTACCTAATAAAATAATATTTTTAATTGAATTTCAAATTTTTGAATATCTTAATTTCTATTTAAAAAAATGATTAAATATTTATTTAAAAATGAAGTTATTGATGTTTCCGAATAATTTTCGTTTTAAAAATCTGGAAAAATTTCGTTTATTAACCTGGAAATGTCAGGGAATTTGAAAAGAGCAAAAGCGTGGCAACCCTGAAAACCTTTAAATTTTTCCATTTCTCACAATAATTTCTTTTTAAATAACATAATTGAAGAACAATCCTAAAATTATGACTTATGAATTATTTAATGAATAATTTTACTTAAATATTTTTCTGAAATTTGTCAAATTTTTTAATATTCTTATATATAAGTTATAAGTTATTGAATTTTAAAAGCTTTGTATTTGAAATTTTCGAAAATCTGAATGAATTCCTATGAAAAAATAATAATGATTAAATATTTATTTAAAAAAAAAGTTATTGTTATTTTCGAAATAATTTTACAATTTGAGAAATTCGTAAATAAATGTTATAGAACATTTTTTTGAGTATTTAATAATTTTTAGAGTGAATCAGAATATTCTTTAGGGTCAAGGAAAAAGTGAAAATTTTGTCTGGGAATCAGGGAAAAGTCGGGGAAAAACAAAATTAAATTTTAGTTGCAAAATACTGGAGGGAATTTTCGAATATTTAATAGTTTAAAGTATACAAAACGAATCAAATATGTTACATATCGCATATAATGTACTTAATACAATACAGACAAAGCGAGTACGTTTTGGTTTAATAATAGAATGATAATCGTCCGTACAGTTTCGTTTAAAACGTGAAAGTTTTCGTGTAATCGATTTAACTTTGTGTATTTTCAGTATAAAAGTTATACGTAATATTCATGTGATATAATGAATTTAAAATCTACTACTTTTCCTCTACCGTTAAATTTTATAGGTAACGTTAAGCTTACATTTTGGTGTACAGCTTTTAATGCATCTTTTTTTTATACATACACATTTTTATTTAAATTTCTCTTTTAATCCATTAATAAACAATCGATTAAAATTTATTAAAGAGAAACAACGGTGGGTATTTTTAAAAAATTGACTGCATTTTTAAAAATTTTTTCGATGATTTTTTGTTTATGGATTGACTGCTTTATACGCACTGAATAAAAATTTTAATCGATTAGTTGTCTATTATTAAATACCATATTCACTTGAATTAATTACTATACTGGCTATAAAATATCGCGCTTTTATTTTCTAATTAGTCGATAGATCTTTAACAATAATTTCTACTCTTATAAAATATAAAACAAAATGTATTATTTTTTCTTCGAGTATTCTTTTAGTAATTTTTAAAATTTTTGTTTTTAGTACTTTGCTTTTGGTAAAATTCTTTTAATATCAAAAAAGATACTCACTGGGATAAATTCGAAGTGGATCTTCAATATCATCAAGTGAAATGCCTCCATTTTTAACTGGAACTGGAATTTGAAATAACATCTATCATTATTATACAAATACATATATAGACAATGCGTTATCCTCACTACGTATATGAGTGATGTTTGTTTTGGCATCAAATAGATATGTGCACACTTAGGTTTAGTAGTACCAGTTTTCATTGCGGAATGTTTGATCAAACATCATTGTTTCGTCATTGCGGTGAATGTGTGTATGCAAATAAATTATGCACAGTACTCACTTGAATGGTTACTGATCACATTAGCACGTGCCTCAGGTCCATATGTTGTTAATGTGCCCATTAAAACCATTATGATGAGCTGAATCAGGAATAACAGAAGGACCTGCTCCTTCCCTCCGCATAATGAAAGCATACTCTGTGTGTTTACAAAATCACTTTCATTACCGCATTTATCTTTCGTACATACAGATAATATGTATATAGTTTTCTTTACTTTTCATTATTTCTATAATAAATTTATTGTTACGTAAAGAATGGGCAGAATTTTTCTGACGGACGATTATTTATGATGCCCATCAATTAAATATATAGTTAAATTTCAAACAAGCTTTACTTAAAAAAAGCTGTTTCTAAATCATTTAAAATATTTTAATTTCAGTGGAATAATAAATGGGTATTTAAATATTTATTTTTAAAAAAATATTCTATTTTTAAATGTAAAGCTACTTTTTTAAAATTATAGTTTTCGCCGGGCTCAAATCAGTGAAAGTATTTAAAAATACGGACTTTACGGACCGAAAATGAAAAATTACGGACCAATATTACTGACAAAAATATAACCATTCCGAGTCAAATAAGAGAACATTTTACATAATACTATAAATTAAATTTGTATAATTAAAAAACATGAAGATATCAATAACTCCGAGTCGAAGACTCGGAGTTTTAGATTTCTTCATGTTTTATAATAATTAAAGATGACCGAGTGATAAAATCATTTACAATATTAAATTATTATTTACAAGAATTTTTAACTAAAATTCTTCTTTAAATTGATTATTTTTAATAATTTTCAAAAAAGTTCTTTGACAATTTTCAAATCCACTTGTTTACAATATTCAATTTTACGAAACTTCAATTATTCGTAAATTCTTCAATTAAATATATATTAGAAAAATAAAATTTTTTAATAATTTCAAAAAAAAAATCAGCAATTAAAGTTTCTCAAAAAAATTAATTTCAAAATTCAATTCAACTTTTTCATAAAAATTAAATTCAAAATTTAATTATTTTTAAAAATTCACGTTATATTGCTTTTAATATTCAATTCCTATCTAAAATTTGAACAGAAATTAATTTTTAAATCAATTTTTATTGGAAAATTCTACTAGAATTCAATTATTTAAATACAAATACAATGCAAATAAATAATTTATTGAATAATTGAATGTTTTTCAAAATTGAATCCACATAAAGAATTTTATCAACAAATTTTTAAATAATTCAATTTTTCCACGAATTTTATAAAAATCTTCAAGAAAAATAATGACATTTTTCGAGAAATTTGATTAAAATAGTTTTAAAAATAATTGAAATTCTGCAATGAATTTTATTACTTGTGAAAATAATTGAATCCCTAAAAAAATTTTATTACTTTTGAGAAATATTTAAGTTTTGCGAGGAATATTATTACTCTTGAAAATAATTGAATTTTTGCAATAATTTGTAACTTTTACAAAATTCAATTTTTTTCGTGTTTTCAACTAAACATCTTCTATAAATCCATTATTTTTAATAATTTTTGACAAAGTTCTTTGACAATTTTCAAATTCATTTCTTTACATTACAATTATACAAAATTTCAATTATTCGTAAATTCTTCAATTAAATATATATTAGAAAATAAAAACTTTAAATAATTTAAAAAAAAATCTGCAATTAAAGTTTCTAAAAAAAACTAATTCCACAAAATTGTTAGTTACAAATATGAAAAATTCAAATTTTCAAAGATTTTAATCTGAAAACTTTTCAAAATTTAATTATTTCTAAAAATTCTCGCTCTAATGCTTTTAAAATTCAATTATAATCTAAAATTGTAACTGAAATTTTTAAATCAATGTTTATCAGAAAATTCTACTAGAATTCAATAATTTAAATACAAAAATAACAATTTATTGAATAATTGCATGTTTCTTAAAATTGAATTCTTACAAAGAATTTTATCAACAATTTTTAAAATAATTGAATTCTCTTGACAAATTTTAAAAAAAATTTTAAGAATAATTTCATTTTTTGAGCAATTTGATGAAAATTGTATTAAAAATAATTGAAATTCTGACAAGAATTTTATTAAAATTTATGAAAATAATTGAATTTCGGAGAAAAATTTTATTATTTATAAATATAATTGAAATTTTGACAAGAATTTTTGTAAATTTTTGAACAATGTTAGATTTCTGCGAAGAAAATAATTGAATTCTTGAGAAGAATTTTATTAAAATTTCTTTTTAAATAGTTAAATTCTTTTGTGAAATGTTATTGAAATATTAGACATTGAAAATAATTGAATTTTGACATATTTTTGAAATTAATTAAATTTCTACGAAGAATTTTATTAAAATTATTTTGAAAAAAATTGAATTGTTACAAAGAATTTCAATAAAATTTTTAAAAATAATTTAATTCTTTGAAGAGATTTATTGATTAAAAATGTATTGAAATATACTTAAATTGTAATAAATAAATTGTAGCAAAGGTTTTTAAAATAATTGAATTTCTTTACTAAATTTTAATAAAATTTTTAAGAATTATTACATTTTTTGAGGCATTCCTTAAAAATTGTATTAAAAATAATTGAAAGTCTGCGATGAGTTTTATAACGTATTTTTGAAAAAAATTGAATAATATATGAAAATAATTCGTATAGATAATTGAATTCCTGTGAAATTTTTATTATTTATGAAAATAATGAAATGTTTGAGTAGAATTTTATTAAAATTTTTATTAGCTAATTGATTTCATTTGGGAATTTTTATTAAAGTATAGTGGATATATTAAAAATCATTGAATTTCTAACAATTTACGCTCTAATGCTTTTAAAATTCAATTATAATCTAACATTTTAACTGAAATCCATTTTTAAATCAATGTTTATGAGAAAATTCTATTAGAATTCAATTATAATTCAATTATTTAAATACAAAAATAACAATTTATTGAATAATTGCATTTTTTTAAAAATTGAATTCCCATAAAAAATTTTATGTATAAATTTTTAAATAACTGAATTCTTTTGACGAATTATAATAAAATTTTTAAGAATTTTTTCGAGGAATTCAATTAAAATTGTATTAAAAATAATTGAAATTCTGCAATGAGTTTTATTATTTACGAAAATAATTGAATTCCTAAAAAGAATTTTATTATCTACGAAAATAATTGAATCCCTGTGAAAATTTTATTATTCATGAAAATAATTGAATGATTGCGAAGAAATTTAAAAAAAAAATTTGTAAATAATGAAATTCCTGTGAAATTTTTATTATTTTTTGAAAATAATTAAAAGTTTGTGTAGAATTTTATAAATTTTTTTTTTTAAATAATTGAATTCTTTTGTAATCAATTTAATTTCATCCTATTTTTAAATTCGAATCTTGTTATTGCAATTTCTATATTTTTATTTCCAAGAAGTGAAAAAAAATTTAACCCTTTGTTAATATTGTTTCGAAAATTTTTTCAATCTGACTTTATTTTTTTCTTGAATAATCAAAATAATAAAATAAAATTTTCCATTTTCCCCTCACTGGATAAAGAAATAGTTTCCATAAATTTTTTTTTTCTTTACAAAATGTTTCAAATGTGTAATTTCAGAAAATTTGTTGCCGAAAAAAAATGAATAGAAAAAGAGAGGAGAAAAAATTAGTTCCATTTAGAAGAAAACTTCTTTTTATAAAATAAGATTTTTACGATAAAAATAAAAATTCAACGATGGAAAACATTTTCGAAAGTTGAATATAGTTTCGGAAGATTAGAAAAGCAGAGAAGAAAAAAAGTCCTAAAGAGAAAATTCAGAAAATAGGATAAAAAAATTCCAACGAAATACACATTTTTTTTAGAACGATGGAAAAGTTTTTTGGAAGAAAATTCAGAAAATATGACAGTAATGCATTTATGGAAAAAATGAAAACAAAAACTTTGAGAAAGTGAAAGAGAAATAATTCAGAAAGAACATGGCAATTGAAAAAGTTTTTTCAAACATTTATTTACGAGTATATGCAAGAACAAATCAATTATATATAATAGTTTCTTTTTTGGTATAGAGAAAATTTATAGCTAGAAACTATATACATAGATATACTTTACTTGAAGCAATGTATAAGAATGATGCTTAAATGTCTGATGGAATTACATTAAAACTTTGGCCCAAGAGATTATAGTTTAATGAGTTTACAGTTTATGCACTATATTTTATGGTCTATAGAGTAGAATGACTTTGTGTGAGGTTTCACGAAGAATAATTACCAAATCTTAGAAAACAGAAATTAAACAATTAGTCATAATTAACCAGATTGATAATTTACATGTAATATATACGTGTGAAAGGCGGGAGAAAAACGACTGGGAACTCAAAAAGGACTTTTGCTTTTTTTATGTTATTAATACCAACACTGATTTTTATTTTATTTTTTTTTTAAATTTTTATTCTTCATTTAGGAATAAATTTTTAGATTATTCTGTTTAAGAATAAAAACATCTTTAATTTTATGTTTAGAATATAATATTACTGCAGTCAACTAAAAATTTGTTTGATACGACCAAATAATTTTTTTGAATTAAGATATTAATCGTTTATTACTCTTTTATTTTTTTATTACTCTGATTTTTTATTCAAGTATAAAGTTATTTTTTAAATAAAATATATGAGTGATTCTTCTAAAAGTGACAATTTTTTGTCTTGATTACTTTTCTAAAATCTACTCTCCAATAATTATTATTAACTATTTTGATAGTAAAAATTTAGCATTTACTTATTCAGATTTGCAGCAAAAATTTAATTTTGTTTTTACCTGATTTCCAGACAAAATTTTGGCTTTTTCCTTGACCCTAAAGAATATTCTGATTCACTCTAAAAATGATTTGATACTCAAAAAAATGTTGTATTATATTTGTTTACGAATTTTTTTATTTGTAAAATTATTCGAAAACATCAATAACTTCTTCCTTATTATTGTTTTCATAATTTCAATTCAATTATTTTTTCTAGAATTTTAAACTAAAATTCTTCTTTAAATCAAATATTTTTAATAATTATTGAAAAAGCTCTTTGTGAATTTTCAAAAACATTTGATTAAGATTCCATTTTACGAAATTTCGATTACATATTTGGAAATTCTTCAATTAATTATATATTAGAAAATATAAACTTTAAATATTTAAAACAAATTTTCTATTTATTTCTATTTTCTAAAAGAATTAAACATATATATGTATTAATTAACGGTTCAAATAAAATATTTAAATATGTCATTTAAAACAAAATTCAATTAAACATTTTCAAAAAAATTAATTCAATAGAATTGTTAGTTAAGAGTATCGAAAATTTAGATTTTCAAATATTTTATTTTGAAACATTTTCAAAATTCAATCATCTAAAAATTCCCGCTTTTAATATTCAATTATTATCTTAAATTTTAACTGAAATTAATTTTTAAATCAAGTTTTATTAGAAAATTCTACGAGAATTTAATTATTTAAAAACAAAAATAAATTATCTATTGGATAATTGAATGTTTCTGAAAATTGAATTCTAAAACAGAATTTTACCATCAAATGTTTACGTAATTATTGATTTCTTTTGACGAGTTTTAATTAAATTTTTAAAAATAATTAAATTTTTCGAGGTGTTCGATTAAAATTGTATTATAAATAATTGATATTCTGTGACGAGTTTTATTATTTATAAAAATAATTGAATTTATTCCTAAAAAAAGAATTTTATTATTTATGAAAATAATTGAATTCTTAAGAAGAATTTTGTTATTTATAAAAAGATAATTGAATTCTTTCTAAAAACTTTAATTGAAAGTTTTGAAAATAATTTAATTTCTGCGAAGAATTTTATGAAATTTTTCAAAATAATTGAATTCTTGATAAAAATTTTGTTATTTTTTAAAATAATTAAATTTCTGCGAAGAATTTTGTTATTTTTAATGATAATTGAATTCTTGCCAACTTTCTACGAAGAATTTTATTAAAATTTTTTTGAAAATAATTGAATTATTACGAAGAATTTCATCAAAATTTTTGAGAATATTTAAATTCTTTCAAGAAATTTAATTAAAAATGAATTTAAAATAATTATTAAATTCTAATAAACAAATTATATCAAAATTTTGTTTAAATAATTGAATTTTTTCGACGAATTTTAATAAAATTTTTAAGAAAATTTACATTTTTCGAGAAATTTGATTAAAATTGTACTAAAAATAATTGAAATTCCTATATTGTAATTTAATTAAAATTATAATTTTAATTTAATATCCTATATTATAATTTCTATTGTAATTGAATCCCTGTTAAAAATTTTATTATTTTTGAAAATAATTGGATTTCTGTAAAAAAATTCTATTTTTTATGAAAATAATTGAATTATTGCGAAGAAATTAATAAAAAATTTGTAAATAATTGAATTCGTGGGAAAGTTTTATTATTTATAAAAATGATTAAAAGTTTTGCTTAGAATTTTTTTAAATTGTTTTAAAATAATTTAATTTCTTTTGGAAAATTTTATTAAAATAGTAGATATTAAAAATCAATAAAGTGAGGAAATTTTTTGAAAGTAATTGAAATTTTGCCAAGAATTTTATTATAATTTTTAAAAATAATTGAATTTCGGAGAAGAATTTTATTATTTATAAAGATAATTGAAATTTTGAACGAAATTAAAAAAAAAAATTTAACGTTATTTAGTTTCTACGAAGAATTTTATTACATATAAAAAAAATTGAAATTCTGCCAAAAATTTTATTAAAATTTCTGAAAATAATTGAATTTCGGAAACAAATTTTATTACTTTTAAAGATAATTGAAATTTTGACGAGAATTTTTATAAATTTTTAAACACAATTGGATTTTTGCAAAGAATTTCATTAAAATTTTTGAAGATAATTTTATTCTTTAAAGAAACTTAATTAAAAATTTATAGAAAATAATACTTAAATTTTAATAAATAAATTGTAGCAAAGGTTATTAAAATCATTAAATTTCTTTGATAAATTATAATACAATTTTTAAGAATAATAACTTTTTTCAAGGAATTTCATTAAAATTGTATTAAAAATAATTGAAATTCAGCATTGAGTTTTATTTTTTATGAAAATAATTGAATAATATATGAAAATAATTTGTAAATAATTGAATTCCTATGAAAATTCTATTATTTATGAAAATAATGAAATTTTTGCGTAGAATTTTTTTAAAAAATGTTTTAACTAATTGAATTCTTTTAGGAATTTTAATAAGGTAGTAGATATTAAAAATCATTGAATTGGGAAAAGTTTTTGAAAATAAGTAAAATTTTGCCGAGAATTTTATTGAAATTTTTAATAACTAATTAAATATAATATTAAACAATTTAACTAATCTCAGAAGAATTTGAATTATTAGAATTTTTCAAAAATCCAAGTTCATTAAAATTTCTAATTAAATTAATTAAAAATTGAAATTTTATAAAATTTCAAATTAAAACCTTTTGAAATTCATGAAAATTGTAAACGCAACTCTTTTAAAATTCAATTATCTAATTTTGAAATATTTAAGTAAAATTTATTCATTAAATAATTTCTAAGTAATAATTGTATGATTAGTTCTTCAAGAATTAAGTTATTGAAAAATAAATTATTGTCAGAAATGGGAAAAATTGAAGGTTTTGTATTAGATAATTAGAATTCGTGTGTAATATTTAATAGTTAATGAGGCAAGCAAAAGAAGCACCAAAAGAAAATAAATTAAAATATCGAAGTTCAAAAGTAGCACTTTCCGAAAAATCACCCATATAGTAAAGATATTCTTTTTTTACTATGCTTTTTTTACTATATATATAAGTATTCTCAATATATTCATACCTCAGCCATAGTTTCGTATAAAAGATTTACAACCGCACTACTGGCTTTCAACTATATATATATATATATTGTACATACAGAAAATTCTTTTCTGCTAAATTGAATTCAATGTATTTGAACCCGGGTCCTTATTCTCAGCGGTGCTTTTTTCAATTTGTCTTAAAAAAATCAGCAAAGAGTGATCATTCTCTTTCACTGGAAATTATCGATCAGTGCCATTGTGGAACTCAATTACAAACGACTGACCGATCCTTTCGGCGCACTCACTGACCTCTCGTACATCTAAATCACCCCAACGGATACACACCATCATTTGGTTGATGTCGATGCGTTTCGGCCCGAATTACTATATATAAACTAACTTAATTCGAGCACGCTGAAGGTTAATATCAATGCGTTCATATACATCACCAGATTCTATGGCGTATGTCTGTGTGTACGTATATTTTTAATTTGTATTACATACATCAACTACTTCATTGCGGGAATATTGACCGATGATTCATTTCACTGCGAGATTACTCCCTTTCAATTTATAGAAAATAATTATTTTTTAAATTTAGAAGAAAAATAATTCATAGAGAAAAAAGGAGAATCTGAAATCATGATTAGAAACATTTTTATTTAATTTTGTTTTCCAGTTAACAAAAATCTATATTATATAGAATTTTACTAGAAAGAATGAGTTTTCTTTATTTCAGGCTTCGCACTCATCTACTAAAACCTACTATTTACTACTTTTTTCACGTTATGCTACTATTTGGGTACTTTTTTTAGATTTCAGCCACTAAAAGTTACTATTTCTGTTTTTTTTATAGAATTTTCACTATTTTAAATTCACTAATACTAGAAATCAAAAAACTATTCTCAAAAATTATAATCAAATTCTTTAAAACGATTCAATTATTTTAAAAAAATATTCGAATTTCAATTATTTTTAATGTCTAGTATTTTCATAAAATTTCGCAAAAGAATTCAATTATTTAAAAAGAAATTTATAAAATTCAATTATTTTCATAAATAATAAAATTTCCACAGGAATTCAATTAATTTAAAATAGCATTTTCAAAAAAAAAATTTCGAAAATATCAATTTTTTAACAAAATTTTTATACAATAATTGAATTTTATTATTTATGGAAATAATTGAATAATTGCTAAGAATTTTATTAAAACTTTCAAAAATAATTGAATTACTGAGAAGAATTTTATTATTTATAAAAATAATTGAATTATTGCGAAAAATTTTATTAAAATGTTTAAAAAGAATTGAATTTCTGTGAAATATATATTTTTTTTTTGAAAATAATTGAATTCTTCATAAGAATTTTATAAGCATTGTTTTAAATAATTAATGTTTGCGAAATATAATAAATATTATGAAAATTTTATTTTAAATAATTGAATTTTTGTGGAAAATTTTGTTTGTGAAAAAAATTGAATTTTTCAATTAACTAATTAAAAAAAAATTATTAAAAATAATTGAAATTCTTCGCTGAGTTTTATTATTTTCATAAACAATAAAATTCATCGAAGAATTGCAATTATTTTCAAAAATAACAAAATTTTTCACAGAAATTCAATTCTTTTTAAACATTTTTATAAAACTTTTCGCAATAATACAATTATTTTCATAAGTAATAAAATTCTTCACGTAAATTTAATTATTTTTTAAAATTTTAATAAAATTCTTAGCAACTATTCAATTATTTTCATAAATAATAAAATTCATCGAAGAATTTCAATTATTTTTAAAAATAACAAAATTTTAAAAAGAAATTTAATATTCTTTTTAAACATTTTTATAAAACTTTTCGCAATAATTCAATTATTTTCATAAGTAAAAAAATTTTCCATGGAAATTCAATTATTTTTCAAAATTTTAATAAAATTCTTAGCAACTATTTAATTATTGACATAAATAATAAAATTCATCGCAGTATTTTAATTATTTTTAATACAACTTTACAGGTATTGTTTGAAAAATGTAATTCCTCAAAAAAATCAATTATTTTAAAGAATGTTTTTTTAAATTCTTTGAAAGAATTCCATTATTTCCAAAAAAAAAGAATTTTTCACAGGAATTCAATTATTTTTAAATATTTTAATAAAATTATTTGAAAGAAATGAATTATTTTAAATACAATTTTAATTAAATTTTTTGAAATAATTAAATTATTCTTTTAGATTTTAATTAAATTCTTCCCAAGAATTCAATTATTTATTATTTACATAAATAATTCTTCGAAAGAATTCAATTATGTCGGTAAATAACAAAATTATTCCCGAAAATTCAATTATTTTGTGGCATTTGAATAAAATTTTTTGCAAAATTCAATTATTTTCATAAATAACAATATTTATCACAAAAATTCAATTCTTTTTAAAAATAATAAATTTCTTCTTGGAAATTCAATTATTTAAAAATTTTTTAACAAAATCAAGAATTGAATTATTGGCAAAAATTTTAATTGAGTTCTTTGTAAAATTTTATTTTTAAAAACTTTTTTTAATTCAATGATTTTCAATATCTTCTATTTTCATAAAATTTCCAAACAGAATTCAATTATTTAAAAAATTTTCGTAAGAATTCAATACTTTTCATGAATAATAAAAATTTTGCAGGAATTCAATTATTTAAATTAGAATTTGCATATAAATTAGTCGAAAGAAATTAATTATTTAAAAATTTTTATAAAATTCTTTGCAGTAATTAAATTATTTTTATAAATATCGAAATTCTTTGATGAATACTAAAATTCGTTGCAGGAATTAAATTTATTAGCATCAGGATAAAAAAGAATTAAATATTTTTTATGAAAATTAGTAAAAAGTCAGAAAAATAAAATATAGAATGGACCTTTTGTCAGTTTTGTGAAAACGAGTTTTTTTTGGTCGTCAAGTTTAATTTTAAAGTTTTGGCTCCTTTTTTGGAAAAAGATGAAATTAATAATTTAATAATTATTAATGATAATTGAATAATTAATAATAATGAGGAATTTATTTAATAAGTAAGAATTTAATAATTAATAATTAATTGTCCCTAATATAATAATTAATAAAAAATAATTTAATTTAATGAACAGTTATTGAACAACGTTTGCAGTGCGAAATAAAAATTGAATAATAAAATTGCGGAAACTTTCGAAGGTTTTTTTCGGTTTATTTAGCAAAAATTAAAGGAAAATTGATTCACTCGTAAATAATTCTTAAAGGATCAATGAAATAGCAAAAAGTACTCGTATCGATTAGATTTTATTGTTTCTGTCTATTCACTACTTTATAGATGACAAAAATAAAGACACGACACGCTACATATTTTTCAACCGGAACCAAACATTTGCATTAATTATTAGAAGCCACTATGCAATTTGTTGCAAGTGCTCTTGAAAATTTTCTGAATTAAGTTTAGAAATAGAAACTTTTAGAGAGAAAGAAAGGACACTTTAATTTACGTACAGAAATCGGAATTCAAAACACTTTTATTATCATTATTTGTTGAATAACTTTTATTTATTTTTTTACTTCTTTCGTTTACAAATTGATTCTCTTCCTATTTTTTTCTGTTAATTTTACACTTATTTATTTCTATTTTTGTACTTATTTATTTATGTCTGAATTTTTCTCACTGATGTTTATTTGTGAAAAAAGGAATTTTCTTCCTGTTTTTGTATATTTCGAAGGGAATGATTATAATCAATTGATTGTAATCAAAATAATTATTTGTAGTGATTATTATTGTAATTATATATACTAATTTTGTATTTGATTCAAATCAAAATTTTAATCAAATAAATTTTTATTTTAAACTAAATAATTTAGTATGCTCTGTTGCGCAAATATATCTCTTTTTTCTTCGTGTAAAATAAAAATTAAAAATATTCATTTGAAAGTTAAAAATTTTAGGGAGAAAGTAAAAAATAATTAAACAAAAAACAAGGAGAAAACTTCTTTTCATCGCAATTAAAAATATTATCAAACATATTCATTTGAAAGTTCAAAATTTTAGAGACAAAGTAAAAAAATAATTAAGGAAAAAAACTAGAAGAAAACTTCTTTTCACCGAAATATTACGACTAGTAGAAAACTTTTTTTAAAAAAAAATTTGATACACAGAATTTTATTTTTAAACTTGTCAGCTGAAAATAATGATTTACTTTGACATTGTCTTTACATCAGAAAATAATAGGAGTAAAATCAACAATTTCTTCAAGCGGAAACAATTTTTCTTTTATCTACTTGATCTAATAAACATGAGTTCAATTTCCAAATTATTATTATACTTTATATTATTGTGTTATTATATAAAAAAATTAATAGTAATAATGAAAAAAAAATTAAAGAATTATATTTTTTTTTGCACGTATTGAAAAAAAAATACTGCATCAAATTTATTTTTCAATATCAATTGAAACAAATTAGAGTAAAAATTCATTTTAGAAGATAAAGCGAACCAAACGTATATAATAATTAAAAGTACTTGCCATTTTTTTTTATTCCACAAAACTGAATTTCTCTCTTTTTCGAAATGAATAAAATTTATAGAAAAAGACTTATAAAATACATATTCGTCGACATGAAACGCGCGAACGATTAAGCTCTTTTGTTGTCTGTCATTTTAATTTATATGAATGCAAAGCAACATTGAATTAGCGACAATTATTCGTCTACATTATTAGTCCCTCTCATTGCATCCTTCTAGAAATAGATTTACCGTTTGAATTTTCGACTTTAATCACAAAACAATTCAAAATAATGTTTGAAATGTTTAATTTATTTTCATAAATAAAATTACTCTTTGAAACAATTTTTGTTTATAGAAAGAAAAATTAATAAATTAAAAAAACTATAAATAATTTATAAATAGGTTCCGTACAATAAATTCGTAACTCGTAAAATTTAGAACTAATTTTTTATTCCTAATTAAAAATAAATTTAATATTTCTCATTTATTTGAAGAATAACTAAAATTTCCCTTTTTTAAAAAGAAACGACTAAGAATTTTGTACAAAAAAGTTGTGATTTTTAAGAATAGTTTATTTAATTTTTTTTATTTATTTTCTAAAAGAAATATAATTTCGTTTAAATATCGTGATTAACAAATAGAAATTATAAAAAAAAATTTCCAAAAGAAACTGAAAATTTTGTAAAGAATGTGATTGACAAAATGCTTCTTCCTTTATTTCTAAAAAAAAAATATTGTATTTTGATAAAAATTGTAATCGGGAAATAAAAATGATGCAAAATATTTTCTTTTTTCAGAGAAAAAAAAACAGAATTTTCTTAAAAAATT